TTTTTTTTAAAAAAAAAGGTATCAAGCTCTTAAAAAATCACCCGTTATTTAAGCCAGAATTGCCCTGTAAAGCTCGCCAAAAATCAGTAAATAAATTTTTTAGGGAAGTAGTTCGATTACTCCGGTATAGTTTTATAAAAAAAAAATATTTCGATCCCTAGGTTCGGCAAAAAAAAAAAATCGAATTTGCTTAGCAACAAGTAATTTTTAGCAAGTCTCATATAAAAAAAATATATATATATATATATATATCTCCTGATCCACTGATCGGATCTTAACCAGATTAGTATGGGATCACCGCTGAGACACTACCTTTCCGATGCATCGGTCGAAATCGGTTGACGTGTTCCAAAGTTATGCGGTAACATACATAAAAAAAATAATAATAAAAAATAAAATGAAAAAATATTCCGACGAACTGATAACCTCCTCCTTTTTTGGAAGTCGGTTAAAAATACTTTAAACTCATGTGCGTACGTCGAACTTTTGTTTTATTTGCTCGTAAGGTGATACGGTCTAATGTACATGTTATATGGATGAATATTAGAGTGGTAAAAAAAACGAATTTCCTAGAAATGGTATATAATTCTTGAAAATCAAAATTTTTCGACCGGAAGTGCTGTTTCTCTTCAGCAGACTACTAAAAAAAATTAAAAAAATGCATCGTTAGTATTAAAAAAAGGGCAAGACAAACAAATGCGTCTTCTGCAAAGAAAGAGAGTTTTCCGATGGAAAAAATTTGATTTTGAAGATTTTTATACCATTTCCACCAGAAATTGTTTTTTTCTTTATATTAAATACATTGGAAAACTTTGTGCGCTTTGAGCGACCTCTAAATATTTTTTTATTTCGAAAAAATAACCAGCCTAATGTACATACATACATGCTCTATGCGCCGCCTCTCTTACTTCGGTAATACAAATGCATATAATTTTATCTAATGTTTGAATATTATCTACGAATATGAATGTCGAAGGTAACTAACTTCATTGTTTATCGAAACCCGGTAGTGCACTGCAACTAGCATGAAAATTAAATCCCATTACACTTGAGTCTAAATATGTAGTTCGTTTTATGTATTACAAACTGTTATTATATTGTATTGTGCATTAAGTGTGGGTATAAAAAAATAATACATATGTATGAACCGTTAAATGAGCTTATTTCCAATGTGCTTTCAAACGGTTTGTTAAGTTGTTAGGTTGCCGCAATCTATTAATTGTTTTTAATATTTGTGTGAACACTCCTTAATCATACATTGCAAATGCATTAAAGCTTTTCTTGTTAATAGACTAACCGTCTCATCGATTAACCCGGAGTTTTATGGTGATTCCGTTTCTTCCAAAAGATGTTGCCCTTCCACGGTGCAAAATGTGTTTAATGCTACACTCAACCCTGTAAAAGTGTCGTTTTAAGCTACCATCTGGTTGGCAGGGCAACCTTTTCCCTTGAAAAAGCTTCAAAGGGCCAATTTTTGCCTTACATTATTTTATTATTTATTTAAACTTACATTAAATTTTAATACTAAAGGGTGTAGAGTAATAGCTGATTGGCCTATCAGCTCGACGCTTCTTAATTTCCATAAATAGTTAATAGAGGCTCTTGAGTGCATAACCATTTAAGTGCCTAAAATTACAAACACCAGAAAAATGTGTATTTACGGTCATTGGCCTCGATCATAATCGCTCACTCTTGTGAACATTTGATGCGGGTAGGCATTTTTTTCTATGCACGAATACGAATACTTACTTCCTTGTATAAGCGTTGTAAAGGTACCAGCATTGAAAGTTTTTGGCAGTC